ATTTCAGAAGCATCGGATGCATTGGATTTAATGCAAGAAGCTATGCCATAGTTATAAATAGCCTGGTTCATCTTGACATTCCTATTGTCCCCGAGGTATAAACCAATTTCCATGTGGCCTCTACACATGCCTGCTGTGTAATTACTGTCCTTTGGACAAAATGTGCTGACTCGGTGACTCAAGAACCAAATCATGGTTCTCACAAGGTCGCTTAGTTTGCTCTCAGTGTGGCTGCCCCGCCCAAGCGGAATCTGTAACGCAGCCAAACCCGGTTGTGACGTAAAGTCATGGTGTTGGGGTGTAATCTATGTGTATTACTTTGTGTAAATTGTGAAGAGGCGGTGTGGCAGTAGTGGATTGCCAGGTAGCAGTCATGTTTGTCTGCCCGTTCGTCCATCTCACCAAAGCAATGGTGACAGAACACAGGTGTTGGTAGCAATGCAGACCTGTGATTGTTAGTAGGCATTTGCTCTGGGAGATTGCGACTCTGAAGCATTTGTTAAAAATCGTGTTTGTAAGCATCGTAGCCTCATGAACTTGGAAAGCAACAGGACGATGCCTCATGGTAGCGTTATCATTTGAAGATATCCAAAAGTTCACTGATGAATGCAAATTGTGGATGGTGGGCTTACAATATGGTGGGCAACGTAAATTGTGTGGGAAATATCAATTTCAGAGTGATCGATGTCCTAGCAACAATAGGCTCAGTAGCCAGTGAAGTGGTAAAGGTAAATGGTTGTGGGAATTTACGATCAAAATTTTCAAGAGCACTTAACCGATGTTTTTGCTAGGCGATTTGTTCGTCGCACTTTAGATTATTGATATATTTAATGAGGTGTTTGTGGTAATTTGTATAATCACATTGTCCCAAATGCCTTGCCTACGGGCTCGTTCAATGCAAAGTTCATTGACCTCCGTACACGTGAAATCATCGGGAGTGTACAAGATCGACATTCCTGCAAATCTTATTTGTCAGTTATACAAACTGCCCTCAAAGGACGTTTGGTACGACAAAGCTAGTGATCGTTCTGCTGGCCTACCAAATATCAGGAGCGTTTGGCCTTGCAACACTCTGCAGTGTTGTTACAATTCCCAATGGCCCAACTGATTCCTAGTGATCATAACCCCAAGGAGCAATTATGTTGACGATATGAAGGGGAAGATTAGGCATATTTCACACCTCATTCATACAGCAGCACAGGAAAAGCGGCTATTTTGACAACGATCTATGAATCTGCGAATCGTCGTATGAACGAACACGAAGGATTAGAATTGCTAATGCCTACTTGACTATGATGATGCCCTTTTAGCCACCACAGACCCCCATTAGTCGGACCTAAGTCTGCTGCTTCCTTTATAAAGAACCGTTGCCACGACCTATCTCTCTCAACCACGCAGCGACAAATCAACCTCACTTCTTCCACCACAATCTCCCTCACTCAGTGCGAATCCTTTTCACTGCATTCACATTCACCACAATATCCACCGGTTCTTGCCAACTCACTGACGTTTTGCGAACGGTGCACTTAATCTCAGCCTCATTGTTCCTCACAGAAGATTACTTTAAAAATTTTCGGTCATACTAACGTAATCGGAATAGGAACAGAGTGACGATATGGGGGTTACGGATTCACGGGTTCTGCATGTAGTTCAAAAAAAGATTGCATTACCATTCATTTGATAAAATGACTGGAGTTTAAATAAACAAACCAACGAATTAGTCATACTAGTGGCTTTTGTTGCGCCAGTATTATCTTTTATCACACTGTGCAATTCCAATTGTGCGAATTTTATATGTGACACTAGCATGCATTTTTAACTGTGCTGATGTCTCCTTTGTAGTCACATCATTGACCCTCAGTTATCTAGATGCATTGTGAGTGAACACATTCCTAGAATTTATCGAATTTAAATTAATTTGTATGTAGGATTAGACTTTGGAATTGGAAATGTGTGATAGTAAGCTAAAGAGTTCATTTGGTAGCAACCTAACAATAAAGGCGTTTTTACTTACCCACAAAGCACTCGAAACTGCACAAATTTGATGAATTTTTTTGGCTCTAAAACAAACTGCACAGGAATCATAAAACTACGTCAGAGCTTAGTTGTGCACTTGATTAGCAAAAAGAGGAGCAATTCCTGAACTGGTTCACGCTAAAGCGAATATCCCCATTCACAGAGTGCCTGACTGAAGCTAAACGGCTACGAAAGAGAACCAGTGGGAAGTTTGTTAAAATCATCAATATGCATGAGGGTTGGCCCCTCGATACAGATATGGATAATGGAAATGGAAAACAAGTTGTGTGATCGCGATGCTAATGTGTTGTTTTTCACTGACGTACCCAGAATAAAACAGAAAAATGCAATCATTTTCAGACGTTTTTCTTAAATAATTCAGTACAACCCAGCCCCTGACAGCGCTAACAAAATTCGATATGTATCTAAATTCGTCCAACTACTGATAATATTGGAAACACCCATCCGAGACAGTTGTCTTTGTAAACACAACTTATTTTAACCTGTATAAACCCAAGGCAATTCAAATGAATCTACTAATATATGAACAATATTGTTTTTTTTTTAAAAAATCAGGAAACGATTAATTTCTTCGATGTGACAGTTTCCCGAAAACCTCTGACAACGTGAAAACTTCGAAATTTACTGTTTTATAACTTTTGAGACTGAACGTTATGCCAGGTGACATTCTGAAGTTACTCTAATGTAACTTTATGCACACGACTTGTCGTATCTGCTGATTTTTGCTAAAAATTGTGAACTAATGCAAAATCCAATCCCCTTATTTAATTTGGCCCACTCAATAATCCAACCCGCGTTAAAAAGGCTGTATTTGAATGACATGATATACCGCTACAAATGTCCTCTAGATAGCAGTCCAGGTAGGAACTATATGTAAGAGCCATCGTTTGTCAGCAAGCACAGTTTTGGCGTATTACAGAGTACTAAGTATTATGGACTTTGATACCGTTTGAACAAATTTTGCTTCACTGTTTTCAGCTTTTATGCATAATCCTCGTTTATGTTGTCCCAGTAGTTCCATTCCAAGACAACAGAACTACCCATTCGGTCAGCCAGTTCTTTATCCTCCCGCTTTCTTCACGCCACGCCTACGGCCCTGAGGGCAACTCTGCCCCTCCCTATGCTCTCTGCCCTCGCATTTGGTAGTCTGGGACATTCCTAGTCGCCATTGGACCACATCAACTTGTAGCCTACCAAGTTGACAAAAGTAAAGCAACGATGCCACGCCTCTTCTAGATTTAAATACACAGAATCTACGTTCAGTCCCTCACCCCCATTTTGTTGCAGAACGTTCTCCAACTAGACGAAAAAATTGTTAAGGTGCGTAATAAACTCCAAAAACAGCAGTGCACGCTTCATTAAAAGTGAAATGATCATAAACAAGTGTTAAATGTGTAAAGAGAAAAAAAGGCATAAAGGAAAGGAATTGAGGTGGTTAAGAATGATGAGTGCTGGAAAAGAGCCTCAAAGGTTGACAACACCAACGTAGCGAAAGAGCAGAGAAGTGGCGTAGGTGGGACACGATTGAAGAGGGAGGGGAGGCGGCACGGGATCAGGACTATGTATAAGGACGCATCGTGCCAGTGTGCAACCAGGGGCCATGAGGGCAACTCTGAAGGAGACGGGCGGGACTCAGCAACCACAGCCGGCAGAACTGTTGGTCACAGGCGTGTTTGCTGACTGAGCAGAGCCTGTCACCTGGAAGGCGTTTTTGCCCAGGACCCCACCACCTGCGTGGTTCAGGTCTATGCTAGAAGGACGAACAATCCGGGGTTCAAAATGGCGCAAATAAGGAAAAAGGGTTAGAATACGATGGGAGTGGGATGGTGCACTCAAGATGGACAGGCACTAATATGAGGGAACACCGATTGTACCGATACACCTCACGTGTGAGCAAAGCTTCAATTAAAACTCCAGATATACAACACTAATCTTGGTTAGTTGGCTCCTAAACAAGTCGCAAAAGAAAAAATGCAGATTTTTCTGTAGAAGGGAATTGGCACAATGAGATGGGGCTCTTCAAGACAAGCGACGACAAGCAGCGCCGTAGAATTTTAAGGGCATTCGAAACGTCCAAAGAGGCCGAAAAGTAGGTTGATAGTCAAAACGTCATCCTATTACAGCCTTCTTACTCAACTGGACAACAAATTAGCATTTTAGTTCTTGAAAAAAACGGGGTTAACTTGTAAATAAACAACCAGATCTTGAGATATTCCGTAATTTTGAGCCGATTTTATCAAAAACATTCACACAGTAAGTCCTAATAAAAAGGCAATAGGGAAGATGACGTGTTCATAACGTGAAGCCGCAGTTCCCACAGTTTGTACTAAAAGAACTAACGCACAGTTGAAAGATAATCAGCCCCAGAACGGCGAAAATGTAAACATTTTTGGGTAAAACAGGAAATCGAACTAGCGATTGATTTTCTGAGAAGGTACGCATACTCGAGTTCCACATAGTCCCACATGTCAGAGTTTAATTATGCTGTTGTATTACCACCTTCACCATCATCGAATGTCCACTAAACTACAGTGGAATATGAAGGTCTACGGGAACGTAAATTTTCGAATACGCGACTTAACTATTTAAAACATAGGCCTTTCGAAATCCTACTAGCTGCTACATTCGGGCGTTGATCAGAAACCAAGTACGACAGAGATGTTAATCTTGTATATGTAAAACACTAAACTATATACCATGTTTATCAGTACAATGTCGAAGTGACGTATTTAAGGTAAAATGAGGCATGTTTGTGTGGAAAAAAAAACGTTAAAAGATGTTTTTTGGTATCATTCGCAACCAGTCATAGGATGGCCCTGTAGCGAATTGTGTTAATTCATATATCCGAACATCTCGACAGTTCACACAAATTCAACAATACGTGTCTGTCCCATCCCCATGTCTCGGCGTCCTCCCGAGCTTACACGACCATGTCTGAGTTGGCCCATTTAGCAAACGGTCCTCTCCGTGGCTCTGGTCATCTCCGGTATCTGTGCAGTGCAACTGGACCTGCACAATGCAGTGACCCAAGTGAGGGTCCCAGACGCATACGGGGGGCCTCCACACTAATGCCTTGATTACTGTGTTACTATCATCGAACAAACACACTACCATTACGTTGCTATTTGTTTCATTTAAGTAGCTGATAAGAACTATAGATTCTATTTCACCACCCTTGTGAAACCCAAATAAAGCATAAACTTGTAAAGGAGAGAAACAGTGCATGAATTCCGTTTCATCCCGCGACAGCGTGAGAAAACAAAGTGCGCGCACGTGTGCGTAGTTGGCGCTATTTCTCCATAACAAATCAGAGCTTGAATAGTGAGCACTCCCTTGCACAAAGATAGCGAAATAACAAACGAAGAAATGTCACGTGATTTCTGCTCTAGTCCGTTTGCGATTTGCTCCTTTAGAGCAGCGTGTTTTACTAGATTAGGTTCCCAAAGGGTTGTCGGTTTGAATTGTGGGAGAAATTAACGGGTCCAAATAGCAGAATTGATAAGCCTCACACAAGCGGGACAGTCGATCGAAGACCGCGTCGACACGGGTCACTTGTCAAAGCGACAGAACGATTGCGACGCCAAGTCCCCAAATTAGCACGAGCAATATTGACGAAACGAACCGGTGCAGAGGTCAGTTAAGGTAAAACATTGCTTGCGTAGCAGTTAATCTGGCTTAACTATTGGCACCAACGAGAGCACTTGCCACGTGACTGAAGTCGGGGCCACCAGATGCTCGTCTAGAGGTCCAAAACCCAATAACCTAAGGACCCGCACAGACAAATAAGTGAAGCTCGAATTGGGTATACGCTTCTCCCGGTGAGAACAATGGTGACCTTAACTCGATATCTACACTCGAAGTTTAAAGTGCGAATAATCCGGCCAAAAGGGAGGCGAAAAAATCCAGTAAATTTGATCACAAAAAGGATTACTGGCCCATAAACAGCGTCTTCGGAGTTTGACATGGATGTGCAAATGGGAACCGATTCCACCGAAAACAACAATTAAGTCGGAGAGTAAAATCCACCCATAAATACTCTGATGTTCAACAACACCACGCTGTTAAAAGTGATCCAAGCAAGTAGAAAAAAATCGCCAACCAGGAGAGACTCGCACCACAGCGCAAAGCGAGGATTCCGTTTCCCATGCTACCCCCATTTTTCCGTGTGTGTTGCGTAATGCGGGTTCTGAAGAAATTGGGCGCTCACCTGTGCGCGTGTGGATTGCATAAAGGCATTTAAGCAAAAAACCCCAATTACTCCCAACTCACCAATGGATACGCAAAAGCGGAACATTTGGAGTAAAACCCAATCTGTTGAGAGCAGCCAAAGCGCCATGACAGTAGAGTCAAAATCAGATTATAGCATTGTTTAGTCATCCTAGTAAGGCTCTGCGGATAAATGTTTGTGACAGCTGATCCAGTTTTATCATGGCCCAAGACCGCGCTATTTGTAATTGTAAGTGGAGTTAACAGAGAGACTTTTAGGTCGATGTTAGGTCCTGACCCGTGAAGGAAACTATGCGATAAGACTCCAATGTATCAAAACAGATTTGGCAATGGTTGATTGTAAAAACTTGGGGCGTAAAGTGAGCGGCTGCCCCGACCTTGTTGGGGTCTTTCCAGCATGATACACGCGCAACCGCCGCATCATTTACACCTGACTCATGCCAGATTTAAATATCACCCCTTCCAGGAAATAAGTGAGGCGTGGCTGCGAAAATTCGAGAAAGCACTCGTACTACTTTAGTCATGTAGCGACTTGTCGGCGGAAGCTGTTTAGTAGAAGCCATTTAAGGATGCATATTTGAAGGGGATTGGTACCTACGACTCACCCTAACCGTTCGTAGGTTCACGCATCCTGCTGATCCTGTGTTCACACAAGCACTCCGTAAATGTACCCACGCACAACACCATAATTAAACGGTCGTGTCTACTTCGTGGCGCTGTCTGATCACCCATCCACTGGGATTCGGCGGGAAGTCACAAGATCAGAACAATTTGATGAAACAGATGTAAGTCCCCAAAATCCTAACCACCAGTCCTACCAGACAAGGGATCACAACAATACAAACAGGCGCAGACTGAGGCCATTGAAATGAGTCTGTGCAAGCAAACAAGACTTGAGACAGAGGCATATTCGAATAGAGTGACTCGAATCGAATAATTGGCACAGACGCAGAATTAAGAGATTTGAGAGCTCATGAGTCAGGTTATCCAGCAACATCAAAACATGCGAGTTCCTGACGCAGAATCAAAAAACGAAGACAGACTCAATAACCCAAGAGCGAGTGTAGGACAATAAGATGGGTGTTAAGCCAATGCCAAAAATTATCAAGACCAAGGCTAATGGATAAAAATATCGTGTCCAAGTATTTGAAATACCAACCAGAAGAGTGTCAGAGGTTTCGGTGAACCACAACTCAAACTCCCGAATTTAAGCAGGCACTGCGGCATTTAGATCATACATAGTATTATTAACTCCAGTTCCGAGCTTTTAACTGTGTGTATATGGTTGTACATGTAGTCCCCAAAGTGTTTTAAGACAACCTCATCAAAATCAAAATTATCTTCGGAATATTAATTACCATTAAGGTTTTGACCTAACGAACGATATTTCAAAAGCCGTTTAAACGGAACTTCTCATTATTTACTCCTTAATCGAGCATTAGAGGTTTCCAATTTATACTTTCAACCAACCAATCCTTCATTTCATAAAACGAAAAATAGTCTACCCGAGACAAGGTTGTTAAGTGATTGGGTAAAAGCCAGGCGAAACGTGTCTGCCGGAGATTAAAACAAACTCCGAGACTCATTGCATGGTTCATTTTTAGAGTTACTTGACTTTTAACCGAGTACAGTTTGACCAGTAAAAAATCTTACCCTTCTATGAGAAAGTGCCGATGCAATAAGACGAGACGAAAAAGTTTCCATAACAATTTTTCCATCTCACAACCTGATCTATTTGATAGATGGTCTCAAACAGAAACAAAGACCTAATTACGGGAGCACAGTAAAACCAGAGAACATTCATGGTGGATCAGTCTGGTGTCAATTTGTGCTAACGAAGTTTTCCCAAACAGCAGCAAACTCTGAGGATAACTGTCATGGTAGTATGCTCTAATGTAACTCAAAAATGTGGGTTGCTACATGTATAATCAGAGACGATAGACTGACTTAAAAGTAGCCAGGTGCCTGACTTTTGAAACACCACAGAAATGATTAGATACTCGAACAATACACATACCTTCCTTCCTGGACATTTTGATAGATTTTTTTCGCAGTATCCAGAAACGCAGCTTCAACATTGTCTCCTCTATAAGAAAAGACAATGAGTGTATAGACGTTCTAAAATGCTGTAGACCCTGCATCCCAAAACTAAAGAACCAGATTAAATAACTTTTGACGAATCAACGAGAATCGGGCGTGGTATCTAATAAAAATTTTTTTAGATGAATAGACACTAGTAAATCTGAACAAACTAGTGTTGCAAGAGACATACAGGAAACAAACATGTGCTATTATTCGAATTCAAGAATATTGATCACATTGTCTACTTTAGTGGTAGAACCACAGGCCATAGTATAGCAGTGATCATTGTAGTAAAAACAAAAACAGCTGCTTCGGAAAACAGGTTAAATTATTGTCTTACGAATATAAGAACAATACAGCTAGTTGACCTGCCGCTAATAAAACAAAGTTGGCTTCAAAGAAAAAAATTGTTAGAGACTATTGTAATCTCTGGTATTTTAAATCTAAGATGCGATAGAGGGTAACTCCAACACAAAGAACATTTGTTCCAATTCGCATCATTCTTTACAGTGTCACAGATTTAGTTAAAACGTGACAGGTAGAACAAATTTAGGTACTCAGACATAGCATTTAAAGTTATCATAAACTCGAAAAGGTAAAAGAGGAAAATAATGAAACTTTTGGACAATGCGTCAGACAATATTTCAGGAACTTATGGAAAAGGTAGATACTCAAGCGAAACAGAGAAGAAAGTAGGTTTCATACGCTCAGGCTCATCCGTTCTTGCACTTGAAAAATTTTTAAAATTATTAACAGCTCACGATTTTGCACTACATTCCAGGAACATTAGACCATTTTCATCCGCTAGTGTCTTGCCATCCTCATATGACACATCACGTTGTTCCTCCAAATCCGACTTATTTCCTATCATGATTATTACAGTATTTGCGGAAGTCAGCTTGCGAGCATCACTGAGCCAATTCTGGATATGGTGGAATGTAGATCGTCGCGTTATATCATAAACTAAGAGGGCACCCATGGCCCCGTGGTAATAGGACTTAGTAACAGCCCGAAAGCGCTCCTGGCCAGCTGTATCCCAGATCTGAAGCTTCACTTTTTGGTCATTTATTTCAATGATACGAGTTCCGAATTCAACACCAATAGTGTGAGGACAATCAGGGAAGACTGTAAAACGTTATATTTACGTAATAACACAGCTTACATTTCTTTTCTGTAAACTGGTGCATTAGACAACTTTTTCCAACACCCATATCACCAACAATAATATATTTAAAGACCTGAGAATAATTGACACCCGCTCCAACAGCCATTATGCACCGAAACGCACTTAAGGAAGCGCGAAACCCAATCAAGTGACTTTCAATTGAGCGGGATCTGATTCGAAGACATAAACAAATTCTTACAAAATACTAAAACTTTTAATTGTTTTTTTTTTAAACAATTTAATAATGCGTTTGATAGCTTCTGATTAAAACAGATAAAATAATAAACAAAGTGGAAGGTTTGTACTAAACAGTAAGTGACGATTCACTAAACAATAATTTGAGAGAATGCAAGGCATTAAGCATTATCTAATTTCACTCATTTAACTTCAACAAATGATAGTTGGTTTTTAATCAATCTTTTGCTTATTTTATTTACTTATTTCTTATTTTTTGGAATATCGTACATTGTAGCCCACAAATTTACTCATCCACAGAATCTATTTTACCAAAAATCATTTCGTCTAGTCTCAAACGCCCTATCAAACCATTTTTGGAAGCTTTGCTATCGTTGATAGTTTGTATGCTCATACTGCATGACTTAAGAATTAATGACTCGGTGAGTTATGTGGTATCGTGTAGAGCGCTGTCTTTAAAAATATCCACATGCCCTCGGAGATCGCGCCATTTCTGTTTAACATCGTTTACCAAAAGCTGTAATTATTTGAGTGGTTATTATCTTGTGTGAACAAGATCAGGATCTATTCTTCACCTCTATTGTTTCTTCTGCTTGCTCGTTCTTCTACTGTTTGATTAATACCAGCTAAACTGTATCACGCACAAGCTAGATTATTTTGAATTTGCATTAAGCAGTATTCTGAAAGTTTAATGTTTCAAAACCATACATCAGTCCATAGTGTTTCGTTATTGTTATTCGTTCCCACAAGGTTCAGAGAAACGCAGACAATTAGCTTGAGAAATCAGGTAAACATTTAGTTATATGTGACCTCATAAATTATTTAAAATTCATGACCTATATGCGAATGACTCCTAAATTTACCATTCACTTGCTTAGTGTTGTTAAGAAAAAATCAGTATTTCTTATACTCTTGTGTGATAATTTGTAATAGGTTTGAAAAGCGCATAATAGTAAACGCTATCCAATTCATTCAAACTTTTAGTTATTTTTGATTGTCGCATTTGATGAGGCCTTTGCATCTTGAACACATTTGAAAAATTTGTGTTTGCTAAGACTGATAATTTTTCTTCTTGTTAAGCTTTTGTTTGCCCTACTATAAACGCTATTAACTTTTCACTCACAATAATATTCAACTAGGAATAGATATTATTTTGCATTTAGAAAATCCACCATAAAGCAGCGTGGTATTTGTAACTCCCGATTATCGAAAGACAAAGTGGAACTTTCAACGACATGTACGTATTATCCTAATCAACTAACGTTGTGATATAAAACCTTTTACATTCCAGTAGCTTACCGTGTTGGAATATCGCAGACCTTGCTTCAATAGTGAGCAAATTGAAAGTGATGCTGTGCAAGAATTGCATTAAAACAACGAATTAATCAAGAAAACAGTGGTTAATATTACCGTTAGTTTTTATGAATTCTTCTACTGTCATATTGCTGTAATTTGCAGCCAATAGGATAAATTGTACATATTGTTATTGAGCTAAGCTGTATGCCGTTTTTGGATGCAGAACCACCACGTTGATCCTTTATTTTGTCATCTCTCACTTGAGTGGATTGTGGTGTTCAGGAGCTGCGATGGATAGGTTCTAGTTCAAGATTATGACAAACACAGTGTCTCGCACATTATCACCCCACAATTATCCCTGGTTTCGTTGCAAGTCTTACCGTTGAAAAGCTTGGTTACATTCAGGAGGTAGTCTAACTGCTTGGTCACTTGTAGTTATCCTGAAGAGACTCAGCGAGAACGCTGGAGTTAACATTTTAAAAATGCATTAATATTGTGTTCTAATGGGGATTTTTTAATTGGAATTACAAGCCAGTGGTCCTATTAAAATTTCCGCTTTCTGCATTAGTCAAGTTAGTTCGGATTGGCTGAACTTAAGAAAAGTCGCCTCGATAAAATGTTCTCCTCAAATCTTGGATTAATATTCGATTTTTAGCTAGATTGCTTGGAAGGTTTTTCTCAACTAATTAAAATAAAATGTGTGTGATTTATTCTTGCACCAAACAATTCGAGATGCATAATTACTTTAATTACATCCATTTAATCTATGCAACTGCAAATTTTTATCAATAAGCAGGTACTCTCCTGTTAAAACGTTTGTCTAATTTATTCACAGTATAATTTAATGGAGAATACAATCAGAAAGGTAATTTAGAAAGATCGCAATTTGTCAACACCGAACATGTTATCTTGCTTAGAGTGCGAATGACTTCATTCAGAAAACAGAAATGGGACATATTACTTTAAGCAACATGGTCTTTTTAGCACTGATTTTGTCTTTCCAAAATCATCACTAAAATATTTCATTTAGTGTGCGCTACAAGTAAATGCATTGGAAAACGGATGCTACTGAAGTCAGTAAAGCAGAGTGCGTTTTGAAGGAGGACACCATCCGCTGTGTTATATATACTTTGTCAATCTAGAATCTAATTGGTAGTTTGAGAGCCATCGACATTAATGACTTAAGAAAACTTTGTTTTTTTTATCAAATACAGATAATTCTTATTCCTCACGTGCGTAACGTGGTCAGTCTCGCTGTCCCCGCAACGATTTTCGACATGAAGACAAAGTAAGGTGGCAACAACTGAAGAAATGTTTCGCTTCGACAATTCCACCTGTTTCCGGTTGCGTTGACTCGCATCCGGGGCTTAATTAAACTCTTGAGCAGTCAGGCGCGAAGCCATTCCTGTCAACGGACCTGGCACTCCCTCTGCAAAAAGCAACCGCCTACCTACCTGTTTCTTGTGAAAGAATCCCAAAAGTAGACTTCCTTTTTGGTCGAAGTAAAAGTGGGACACTGTGGCAAGCGAGAGTCCTTGTCAAGGGTGTCTGTAGATCAATGTAGAGACTTAGATCCAAGTAGACAGACACACTGGAAAGAAAGAGAATCAAAGCAGATCGGGAACGTAAAGCTATTCACTTGTTATCCTAAACAATAAATATTACGACAATGCACAACGTAAACGGTAATTGTTCATCATAATCTAGATGCTTACTGGTGAGAGGCGAACTGAAGTGTTCTAATGGAAGTCAGTATAGAAAAACAGCAGCATGACAAACCTTACAGTATCTTAATCGTACGACTGTCGAGGTGAGTTGCTGATTAAACTTGGGTTATGCCACATGCCGATTTCCAAATTCAGAGTAGACTTTGAATTGACTGTGAAACGGTTCCCATTCAAGGTCTCTCCCCCCTTTAACGCCCCACAGCTTCAATTTTGTAGTTCTCGTGTTGACGTTGGTGCATCTTTTCGTACTTAACAGCTCTATGAAATCTTTTGAAAAGAGAAACCTACTATAAGTTCACCTTCCCAAGAAAAATTTCATTTGAGAAGGATGCAGTCGTGGCAAGACACGTCATGGTATCGCAGGTAAACAAATGACATCAAGCTTAAGTCCTGCGGTATTTTCAAAAAAAGTAGTTTGTTTTTTGATAAAAACTTTGACCGGTGAATACCACAAGCCGGTGGTTCATTTCTGTATACGACACGAAGGAATTTGTGTTGCTGCTATGCGTGGAAATGCCATCGCAGGTGGCACGCTGACGTCAGCTCAAACTCGAGCATGAGACGTAGTTGTACGTGAAATAACTAAACCAGAGATTTTCTGGATGTCCATTTCGAACCTCGGTCTTCGCGTAAAGGAATCTAACTACCAAAATCCTAAAGTGGGATGCGAGTTACTGGTTTCCAATGAAGTGGTTACACACTGAATACAGCTATTTCCCATGTCATTTAGCTGACTAACTTTTATTCTGGCCAATATTTGCCCTCCTTGTAAATCCATGGGCCTGAATTCTTTCACGTTCTGGCATTGTTTATCTATTGAATAAAGCGATTTTTCTTGCAATTCGCCTTTAATGCTAACTACTAGAAGAGCCTTGGCGCAACAAAACATCATCAACTAAAACGCCAGGCTTGTTTATTTACGCTTTGTGAATGCAACATTTGTGGTTAGTTTTGCGGGAGATCGACGTGCATGGCGGATAACGTCCGTGCGACATGCTAACGCGTAATCCTACACTAAGAGGCAATTCCAGTGAGATTTACTCAGACGTTGCCCATGCTCACACACGCACTCGTCGGACACCTACTGCGGGAGGCCAATTCGCTCCCTTGCTCCTCCAATTCCACCAAGCCGGCGCCTGGGGAGTTAAGCGATTCGCGACAACAGCTGGTAATTTAACATAGTAATTTAATCCCACCAGAGTCCTGACTTCCGGAATTAAATGAATTACGAATCATTATTGGAAAACCAAAAATGATATGAACCCTACAAAAAAGTCAGATACGCAACTCATTCATAAGCAGTCAACTCTGTTCTCTCACGGACGGTGGACTTGTAAGGTGAAACAAAAATATCTGCTTTCAATTCGCCCATCCATTTATCCAAAACCTTTGAATGTGGACATTTTGTTGTCTTTTGTGAGGGACCTGTGTCGATCTGAGCCAAAAAGGGGGCGCAAAGGCTAATTCACTATCCGTGCATACTGCAGCGCTTGAATTTAACCACCGAGAGAGAATGTTTGCCGTGGCAGCTTGTCCACGCGACAGGGGAGGGGAATTGGATTGATGAACACTGTAACTGTCCGGTAAGTGGCCGAGCTTTTGTGCTATAGCTTGGAGTGCGCAAATCCACTCACTCCTGCTTCAACAGACATACTAACTTGAACACGTGTTGCATACACTGAAGGCCTTAAATCCGGGGGTTGACAGTGAGCGAACATGGGTGCCATTAAAAGTTAAGGCGACAAAGAGGGAATAGAATTGACCAAAGTCGTGGGAAGACGTGACCCCTCTGTCTGTCACCTCACACCCAAACTCAGACACATGTCGACAGGTCTGAACATTTACGCGTGTTACCTCTCTACTTGTTAAAAACGCATTCAAAACGTTGGCCTCGGTGCGTGCTGGCCTCCGTTTAATTTCTGACAATGCGCCTCAAATCGTGCTATGTCCACGTCAAGAAGGGCGTCAAAACAATAATTATGTGGCTTTTCCTTTAAGACTTCGCGTGTCGGTGTCAGTTCATCGATGAACTAACAAGTTACAGTAAAGTCTACTTCTGGGTAGGAACTAGTGCTTCCAAAATGTATTTGTTAACCAGTGTTCGATTGCTATCGAAAAACAGACAGGCGATCCAAAAAGAAGGAAATAAAGTCAATTAGGTAATCAAAATAAAGGAAAAACTCGAAAACAAGTAGAGGGAGACCAGCCAGCGTCTGTCAGGATGTTCCCCTTTAATATATACGTCCTCATTTTTTAATTGATAGGATTTGCATGATACGCAAAAAATCACACCTGTTTAACTGGCTGAAAATATGTTCTCGTCGTCTTATCCCTTGGAAAGAGGCTGGAGAGGCTTTTGTTCACTCGATTTCAGATCGAGGAATGAAGTGTTTTATTACGACCAGACCTGGCGTGTACTCGTACGCTATGAGCGTTTCGATAAAACCAACCCGACGAGACCGTGAATTGAGTTAGCCTTCATCCACCTCTGTTGCCACCTGAGCGCCCTTTTTAGATTCTAGGAAAACGAACTAGGGCCCTCACCTCATTCAGTCCCTTGGATCGTTGAGCAGTCAGTTTGTCCCTCACCAGCGTAGCCGACATCTAAACGACAATAGATTAATAACGCTGTGGTACCGAACTCAGGCAGTAAGTAATGTCACGTCAACAGCCTTATAAATAGGATTAGAACCTAAACTCCATATCCACAAGACCACTCGTATAGAATTGGGATGAGTTTCGGAGGTAGCCATTTTTGTGCATATTTTTCATTCACACAGATTAGCGGACACTGGTCTATAAATCCGCTAATGTACTTCGATGCGTACGTGGTGAGCGGCAGCTCACGTTGGGTGCTACAGTGACCCCTGTCGCTTTTGGTTTCCATCTTCAAGTTCTGACATTCGGCTGTTAACTGTTTGAGTTTTTGACTTGGCTGATTGTAAGCTATATTTTAGGTTCCCAACCAAAAACATGACTATCCGATGTTTGGAGACGATCTGGGGGATGAAGAGATGAAAGAAAGGGAAAGGCAGGTGCTCCTTGTTCCACAGCCTCTCGTCACCATGATTGGTTTGCTAAACCCCGTTTACTTTCCGCCCCCTTTGGCACTGAACTACCCTACCAAAAGATCAATCGTCTTTGTAAGCCTTTCGCTTTTTTACTGACAAAGTTCTCAGTTTCCGCAAAGGAACCTCACCTACCACATATAGAGCCATTAATGTTAGTTCCATGAATTAACTTAATGAATTATTTTTGTGCATTACACATATTTCAACTAAGCTGACTAAATATTAATTATTACTGTGCTTACATTATACTATTAAGAGAAAGCAAATGATTTATCCTTAAAATCACAGCGATGGCTGAAAATTGAGCTAGTGAATCAGATGTAAAAGGACTCGTATCCGAGTATGTAAAAATTCTGTTGAAAGGCAGGAATGATTATTGCCTGGATAATGGCTTCTCGCAACGAAAAAACTGGGACTTAGCAGACACCCAGTTGCCGCTAGCAATGGGGTTTCTCGCGTTTTTGAACTGCTACCCATCCTCGAGCACGTGCGCTTATCTGGACATTTATCTGCTCTCACCCCAATTATAACCAGCGTTTAAACCACACAAGGGGATCGCACTAATTTGATTATGTGCTTCCCCCGCCCTCGTTCCACTCACGGACGCGTGACACCCGACCCACCTGAACCCCCACACAAACAATTGGTGAAACAGCAGGAGCAGCCCAGCAACCACGACCGCCGCCGCCGCCACCACCGGTTGGACGTGTCGTATCAATCAAGCTGCTGGCTGCGCATTTGTTGATTATGAAAGGATAACCAAACCATGCCCAGGTTAGGGCTTTCAACTTAATGAATTTGTCTCACTGAGTCACCTAGGGGGTTTCGCGGTTCTTTCTGGTTATACTTATAAAGTTTACTGCATTCTTCATAAACTGTGTCATCAATTTACTGTTTTTAATCGATTAGCCAATAGAACAAAGGTCCCATGGCTTCTTCATGCCATCACCTCCCACCAGTATTCTTGCGGACCAGTAAAGGGACAGACCTAAAGTCCCGCGTAGTTCAACAAACTCTATAATGTTTTTTTTAGTCAACACAATTCTCTGTAATTTTGTAGTTTGACTGTCCAAACTGATATTGAGAAACTTTAAAAAAATATATAATCACGTTTTGATGCAGATGAAATTGGTCAGTGTAGAGATAAATGCCAGCAATAATCTCTTCAACAGGTCTAGAAAGCTAGTTATTTATGTCGTGGAGGCATCGCAGAAGGCCCGTCATAATTCTGCTCCATCTAAAATCGGTGATTACAATTTGTCTGAACGGCTCCAGTAGTTTGTAAATGAGGGTCGGACACAGAAGGCAAAAGGAAATTTAACCACAAATTACAAAACGCCGCTGGCGAGAATTCACGTTAAACCAACACTTAATCTGATCCAGACTAAGCTGCATCTAGCCGACCCAAAAACAGATCTGAGTTAGGAGACGAGTCGCCAGTTACTACTGACTTGTGCGAAAGAAACCCCACAAAAATCGGAGGCTTTCCCAGTCTGAACTGAAATCTACAAAATAAATCAAAGTGTGTGACTTCACCAGCTGGTGTGACTCTAGCTTTGACCGCTAGTGGCACCTGCGTGTAAACTTGGAGTAGTGTATCAAAGTACATTCGACCCAGACTTCTAATGCTTATGAAAGCTCGATGTGTTGCGGCTAAAATAGTATCTCTGGAGATTCCGGTGAAACGACCGATTCTCCGTCACCACGCCGTAAGACCTTTCCCCTCCCTTATTCTCCCAGAATTAACTAAATCTTATTATTTTATTCCATAGTGTTCTTCATCGAGAATACGCAGAGCTGTAGAAAAGACATTGGTGTAATCGTGAAAATGAGGCATCACACATCAGGTATGTAAAATAGATCGAGAAACAGGGTAGGGTGTTTTGTGACAAAACAATCGAAGGGTTTGTGTACTAGGTTTCTGTACAAAGTTGTTCAACTTATCTTAAATTGAGTAAATTGCAGTGTCGGGCAGTGGAGTCGAAGGGTAGGGGGCCACCTCAGGGGGCTTTTCGATTGGTTGTAAGTGCGGCAGAGAGTACTCAGAGGGTGGAGCGAGGATTAGACAGGAAGGGGGAGGAGGTGGTGGGTATTCACAGGCCTGTGTTGTAGCAGGCTGAGGGAATCCCCCGTCAAAGTAGATATGTGAGGAATTTTCTTGAAAAAAATTTCCACCGGTAGGATAAGGCGAGTGTGTCATCTGGTGAGTCAGCTCCCCACCACCACCACCACCACAGAAAGGGGGGCTACTGTAGTTGGACCCGCCTTCCCCGCCTCGGAGGGAGTTTTCACTCGTGTCACCGCCGTTTTCAAAAGCAGCTGGATTCAGGCGTTTCTGTTTCTGCCGCCGATTGCAAAACCACACCCTCACCACCTCCTTCTCCAAACCGAGAGTATCAGCGAGGTTCGTGATATCCTGGGCAGCAGGTTTCGGTTGCCTGATGAAGTGCCCCTCCAGCACTCCCTTCACACCCACTTCAATGCTTGTCCTCTTTTTGCGTTTCCTGCCCTGGGTCGTTACCTTGTCAAAGTTACTCGTTGTTCCCGTGCAACAATCGGCCTCATGCAGCCACTTTTGAAGCAGTGGTTTTAATTTGCACATATTCTTGAAGGACAGTTGGAGCGCTTCAAAGCGGCAAATTGTGGTCTGACTGAAGACATTTCCGTAGAGTGTGCCGAGAGCAAGTCCAACGTCTGCCTGGGTGTAGCCCATTTTAATCCGCCGTTGTTTGAAGAGTTTCGCAAAGTGTTCCAAATCGTCGGAGGAAGGAAATTCCTCCTGCGGAGGAGGGGGATTTTCACCTCCCGAGTTGGGTGAGGACTCGGGACCCACTTGGGAGAACTCGAACTCAGCATTTTCAGCGGGTGGAATAAGGCGGTAGGCTGCAGGTAGCGAAAAAGGTGGAAGAAGAGGAAAACCCGTAGAGATGGTGTCCTCTACCGGCGATTTCACAACGGCGGCCTCCGTGACAGGTCGACTAGATGAGAGCTGTTCGGAGAGAAGGGAGTTGGCCACACTCACGGGAGGAGGAGGCGGCGGCGGCGGAATGTAGGGAGAAGCGACCCAACCCTCTCCCTCTTTGAAACACAGTGGAAGAGACTCGAATCCAGCCGAACGAAGGAGGTGGTTCATTTTGGCCTCCGATTCGCTACTCGAGTTATTAGTGACATTCATTTCGGATTCCAAAGAAGAAGTTGAAATCGTGGCAGTGGAGTTGTCTTCGGGTTGAAATTGAACCAGCGGCAAGTGGCCGTTAATGGGAAAAGAATACGGCGATTTTATTTCCTCACTTTGTGTTAGGTACTCCTCCACGTAAGGGGCATGAAAAGCGTGTTGGCCACCACCGTCAGTCGGAAGTCTAAAGGGTCCCTCGTAAATATTTTCAGATCGGGGGAGAGGGTAGAATAGAAAATCGGGTTTCGTCTCCTCACCCACGAATTGTTGATCATGGGGATTCCTTGGCCAGAAGGAGCTGTAGTCGGTGGAGGTGGCCTGGACGTACGCCTCAGGGGGAAAGGGGGAACTATTTTTCCATGCATCATCACTTTCAGGATTCCAAGTGAGCACATGGTTCACACTGAGGATGCTCTGGTGTGGAGGAAAGAGTCCCGGACACTGGCCTTCATGACTGGTTGTGTAAACTGGGAAGCCTGACTGCTCAAATTGCCAAGGTGGTGCGAAGTGCTGGGGTGGGTCGACGGCCATTGAATTGTTCGGGTACAGGACTTCTTCCTCTCGAGCCTCTTCTCCACCCGCTTGAAAGTAATAATGCGTGCTTTTCTTGTGCCCCCTTTTCCTACAACCACTACTACTAATACTACTACCGGCATTTGGGGAAGTGGGTTGTGGAGAATCAGCTGGATGAGTGGGTGGAAAATCAATCGTGCTTTCCTGGCGCGGATGCTGATTAGGATCGTCGCTGCATATCATTTTGTGGCAGACTGCCCGGGGCTGTCTTGTCTGAGGTGCGTGTGTATGCGCGCATGAAGCGCGCGTGCGCACGTGCATGAAGCTACTCACGCTTTCAAGTGTAAACCTGACACCCCTTCGCCGGTCGTGTAAAGCCCAACCAATCAAATTCTGGATTTTTGCGTGCACGCGCTTACGTGCGTGTTAGCCAACTGCGAAACGACCACGGTGTTCGCGTAGGAGGGCACATCCCCCTGGCTCGTGGTTGGGGCTATGGAAAGTTACGTGTTGAATTAACTTGAAACCGAAAAGCCATTTCCTTTGTTGCTGAACGTATCCCTTAAATGAGGTCAAATTTAGTTTAAAAAGGATATTTACGTCTAAAATTATTGCGTAGCATGTCCCTCGATTTAAATGAACACATAGTTTTCGGTAAAGTGAAGTGTGCCTAATATTCCCATATGACCTCGGAATGGTAACCTAGTAATCAGTATTTTTTATATTTCACAAGAAAAGCTAAACGTTAATTAGAAAACCCAATTACGGTGCATAAGTATTACAAGTGTATGTTCACTCTTTTTATTAATGATTGGTTTCCTTGACTGATAATGACCCAGGCAAATCCCGGTGCCAATGTTGCGTGATGCTTACTTTCGCCTTTACAAAAGTTTATTAATAGGTGAATGATATGCGCAGAGGTTAGAATGTAGGAAAACGGAGTCAATCATTGGTGGATTCAAAGACCAGGGACATGTTGACCCAAAAAAAAAACAAAATGGGAGAAGGCGTCAAGTAAAGGGAGATTTCAAACTCATTTTCGACGTCGCGACAACCTTGTGAGCCCAGTTATGTGGTTTGCAGAAAAGTTCGGCAACATCTGGAGCCTAACATTTCGCGGCTGTTTGTCACCAAATAGATGACGAATTGCAAAGTTTTGCTACGAAGATCAGTAAAATGGTTATTTTTGGTTTTGATCCGGCTTGGGCTACCCTTTATTTAACAACCAGAATCAACATTTAATAATGGCAACGATTAACCAGGAGACCCAACAAAAGTTTTGTCCCGAGAGCGTATCAAGGAGTTGGCGCCGCGACCCTGGCAGATGTAAAGCTGAAGGTGGCATCAGCGAAAGGAAATTCGGCTCCATCGAGGTCTTTGCAACTGCTAATTTCCCGTTGTGTCCATCAGTAACACAAAGTGTAAATATGTAGGTGTGCTCCGGCTTTTTGCAGATCTTGGCACATTTGGTTCCAAAACACGTCGCACAACAACCACATGAAGCAATTCGACCTTTTCAACAGAAAAGTCAACACTGCCACAAACTTCACGCATTTCCTTTAATTTAAGATTCCTTACACTCAGGGTGGTCAAGCCACGTTGCCCCGTTTGTGTCGCATCTCCACCTGTTTTTCACTAAATTATGTGGCACCAGACAAAACTATACTACTGACCCCCAAACCACGCGACCATCACCTGCCCACGGACTGAAGGCGATCAGGCATTCGTGTCGCCCCTGTTCCCCCCCCCCTCCCCCACCCATTCACTGCCACCACCATCACCACAGGACCCACCTGTGGCTTGTCAACGCTATTGTGGACTGCATCAACACCTCTGGCCACAGCAAACTCCACACTCCACACCCCTCCCCCTCATGGGCACACACTCGTGTCACACTCATTTGATTTGCAAATCAGTCTCCCTCACACTCCCCCTGTGTTATCACTCAGAGGGAGTCGAGTGAGCCTGGACCCCACAAGTAGCTTATCACTCCCCTCCCTCATTCGCCGTCTGTGGTTTCTTTGATAGTGCGTGTATAATCATAAATCTGAAGATTTTACGACTTTAGAGGGTGGAAAAAATGCACGGTGCCTCGACTGGGTGGAGGCAGATGGGATGGGAGGGGTACGGCTGCATTCAGACCGCGGGGAGAAGATCGATTCCAGGAGGGCTGTGAGCGGCCCCGATGGCAGGGTGAAAACATTCACTAAAAGCTCCTGGAAAAACCGCAGGAGTGACTTGAACGACAGAGCCACGTGAGGGCCCGATCAAAATCAAGAGAAAACATGGATTTATTATTTTTGTAGAATGTCTTTCTTCGAACTCTTAACTGGTGACTATCCCAGCAATCTTCACAATGTATCCTTTGGGCCAAGTGGCGAGTTATCTACCAAAGCAAGGGTTGGCAAATATCTTACTGATGAGACGAATTAACCGTGCTTCAGTGAACTACTTCGTAAGAACCGTATTCGCGTTTTTTTCGCTCATTTTCTGGATAACTGATTACTTTATCCACGGTAGTCTGTCATTTTAAAGTGACCAGGCCCTTCGTGTGGGCCTTTACAAGATTCGTTTTGATGAACGCCATTGGTATTTACGCCGAAAATCCCCTTGTCGGAGGTTCCTGAATCTTGTTTTGTCGGTGAGGACAGAAGTCTATCGCTTTGTGTAATTGATTTTCGCTCCATACGCCCGACTTGTTTCCTTCTTTGTCAACCCAAATTTGCTCTCACTGCGTAATATCTTGCAGCATGAAACTTCTACCAGTTTTTAGAATACAATGTAAAAGCGAAATAATTGTGGCGTCTCTTACCCTGCTAGGAGAAACGGCCTTTCATAAACGATCACGCAAATCTGTACCGTTTTGGATCATATGATGAGGTCGTGAAATTCTGTTATAATTTTCCTTGCATCTATTTCGCTATTGTGCCACGTCAACTTCCTATATTTTTCATGATACTTAGTTATAAATCCCACCTCTGGACTGTTATTTTCGTCAAAAGTGTTATAGCCAAGATGTACGCGTCTATAAAAGACTCATGAGCAGCTATTTAAAAAAAGATCAGTTCGTCTTTCCAATTATTTTTGCACAGTTTCTTCAGGGAAAAATGCTTGATCCAAACCTTAATGATTTAATTATTTGCATTACCTTTTACCTGTGTGATATTTACGTCCTCGTGTATTTTTGAAGGTTTATGACAATTTGGGCTCTAGTGTGTCCCCTTCTAAAGGAATACTTCGAAGGTTCCCCAACTTTGTCATGTTTAAGTCGGGTGCTTTTGAATGTAGTAGAGCTATTTCTACCCTGACGAAAAGCGATTCAGTACTGCGGCTTCACACAATTCACTCAGAAGTCGTCTCCTATCACTTTGGTCGCTCTGATGTAATTCACCTTTTTTTCTTCCCACAAAGTCGGACCAATTCATGGATGGTCCCTCAAGCCTGACAAATCAGTTCGTCCAACTCTTCAAGCTGATAGAAATTCTCATGCCTCGTTTCGCTCACTTCCTCCGTAAGTTTGGTTGCTAGTTGTTTTCATTGGCCAGAACAGTAATGTGAACACTATTTACATGTCTGTGTTTGTCATACGGAATATGTTGTCGGCTGCTTAGGCATAGGTTGCGACAACGTACGAATTGTGGTGAATATTTCACCCCCCACTGAGGTTAGAGTTGGTTTGTTTGTAATATAGTGCGTGACCTTTAAGGAAATTTGTGCAATAAAAAGGCGAAAAGCTCCAATATCTGGCCGTGCAATCATTTTTAGCCGTTAAGCATTGACATTAATTTGTCTTAGTCTAATTTTAATTCCTTTTATTACTGCTTAGGGAAAATGGAGGCAACATCTATGAACTTCTGTTTTAAGTGGTTCCTCATTATCTTTAAACGCGAGTTCTCGTACGACGACATCAAGATACTTTGGGAGGTATGTGGAATTTGATTTCCAAAAAATGCCGAAGTCAAATTTAGACTTAGCAACCTGTAAACGCGGAGTTAAATGTACGAGTCCCCAATTTCGCTTTAACTTGTATTAGGCGATCTCTTCAATTTATAAGAGTCACGGTCTGCGCCCTAAACAGGATGATGTTGACATGTAGCAACTTGGGTCTGGCCTCTTGTTCAAAGTTTGTGTGATGTTGTACTAAGATGTACTTACTCGTTCAGTGCCTGCTTGTTTCCGGTTCTTACGTCAGTCAAACTTTAGTAGCAAATGCCTAGTGTTTTTGCAATTCTTGTCCACTGATTTGGTAAAAGGTTATGAATCACAATCCGTTATTTCTGATCACTTTGTGATTCACTCATGCTTCCTCGCACAACAATGAAGTAGTCTCACTTAACTTCTGCTGAACGAGGTCTCTGTTCTTCTGGAGAGAAAAAACATTTTAAGGCCATAAGTTGTGCCTCAACGAGATTCGAGAACATTTTTGCTCTCAATACAAATGCCTGTTACCTACTGCGGCAGGATCCTTGGAATCCACTGCTGTTGTCGTAATGTCGGCACATACGACCGAATTTTCCTTTCCAGATTGCTTAGTGTGAAGTCAAGCTGCCAGAAAACGTTCCTCTTTAATTGCCCTTTACCTTACTATAGAGGTGTTTCCCAATACTTGGGTAATCTTTTTTCCCTAATAGTATTTTCTTGCTTGTTCATATTAATAGGCTCTTTGGAGCGACTCCGCTCCGAAGAATTTCCAGCTTCTTATCGCTGTTGCTATTTTTGATGCCGAGGCTGACAGCATAATGCGGTCTTGTAGTGACATCAGCCAAATCCTTCAGGTATGTTCCACTCTTTTTTTAGGTTAAAACCTGGTAACAAACTGTAATTTAACGTAGTTTTATGCATAGATAACATGTTTACCCATAGCACCTGTTCACATGGAGGCCGTAGTGAAGGGGATTTATCTTGTTAGCTCTCAATACAGGACATGCTCCTACTTTTTCCTGGATTGAAACATGTTCTCCAAACCATGGTTCATATTTCGACTACCGGATTTTTTTGTCGCACAGTTTGATGGCGAAATCGCGCTGGACACAATCGTTAAATTCCTTTCTGATTGGTTTCCCCAAATCAGTAGGATTATTTTGTAACCAATTATCCGCAGTCTTGTTGACAATTCCAGACTAACTGGTCATCGCACTACCACGTTGATCATGTGAGAAATCACATCTCCACACCAATGCTGTCATTTCATGTGTCAGTTCCACGTGGGTTATTCGAACTGCAATTTTTTCCCAAAAATTTGTAAATTTTTCTTCAAGTACATCAATGGCCTCAGTGAGAAGATCAACCTGCAGATGGTCTTGAGCCGCGCTCAGGGAATTTACAATCAACTGACAGAAGTGAAAGACCGTCTACCCAGCGAGGTAGCCATAACTCTTGGATTTGTTCCTGCACCCTCCTCGGCTTCTGACGGTGATTATCGGGGAGACAGCGATTTTCTACCCGTAGATGATTGTGACTTCATTCTAGAGACCGCGACCTCTCAGATGGTCGATGCGGAGGTTGGCGAAGAAGCCACTGATCAAGATGGATCTTACGCAAACTACAGTGCTGGAGAGTCGCCCACCGACACTTTCCTGTAGTGTATTTACTCACATAATTGTAAATATGTCAACTCAACCTCTTTCCCTCCCTTTGCTTAATTTCCCTCGTTGAATTCTTATTTGATGCTGATTATTATCGTAACTTTAATTTGCCGTCATTTTTTCTAATTATCTGTCCCCTGTGCTTGAGACCGATCGTTTATCGGCGATGCCGAGGCTGAGCAGTCATCGTGTTTCCAACCACACGAACGTCGCATAATACAGGGTGGTGGGGCGTCACTTCAGTTCTGGATTACCGCCTGTGCATAGTGGCGGTCTTCCCAGGGATGTATTTGGCGATATTATAATGGATGCTGGTGTTTTTACGCCAAAATTTTATGATTGCTTGGTCTGTTGCCTGTCTTAGGTAAGGTCCTGACAATTCCAATATTTATTCCTGTGAACGTTTCCTTGATCCCCCAAGACAATGCCGAGTTTTTTCGTTCAAATAATGGATTGGCTAATTTTCGTTTTGACAGTTGGGAAACTAGTTTCCAGTTAAGTCGAGACAGTTTAGACTTAAGTTTGTGTTGAGGCCATCCAATTCCTTTTATTACAGTGTGCTTCCTACCCGAAGATCCGATAAGTTACACGCTGAAATCCACCGAGTAGCCATTATTTTGACTTCTAGACATGACCAGCGTTATTCAATCCACTGCCCTTCACCGAATGGAAAGTAAATGCGTCGTTCATAGTTGGCTTGCTGCTGGTTTGTATTCATTTGATTTCACTGTCGTTGATGTCTTTCATTGGCGAAAAGAAACTAGCACAATTAGTAGTGGTGGTCTACTTTGAGGCGTTTTCCGTGTGAACATACCTTCAAGATCCCGGTTTATTGTTACTGTGAGTAACGGTAGATGCTCAGACCCTAGCAGACAGACGCGCTCTAAGAGAACAGCAAAACACCTGGGACGTAGAGAATTTCACGTATTATCCTGAACAAGAAATGTTGAGATAGTAAATGCCGTAAACGGTAAATGTATACAATATTCTTGGTGCTCACTGCTGAGGGGCGAACTGAACAGTGCTCTAACGGAGGTCGGTATAATAAAACAAAGCGTTGCGGGGAATAACATGACAAATGTTACAGTTGCTTCATTGTTTAAGATGAATCTTGGTGTTATTGCAGTGCTGAGCCAGGCACGATTGCACGCATCAACCCCGAAAGAGTACCTGTTTCATTTAAAACTGCTTGTTAGCTGTCCAAAGTCGTTGGGATAGATTGTAGCCAAGTTTTTTTGTTCAGTCTGGTTAGATAATGCACAACGCGAGCAGTGCAGCATATCAATAGTCCAGATATGTGTATTCTTTGCTAAATATGTGGCTATAATTAGCTGCTAAAGTCTTCATCTGGCATCACAGTTTTGTATGTCCATTTGTAGGCAACTTGGCCACAACTAATACCTTTTTCAAATGACACCACATACGCGTTTAAACCGCTGTGCAATTCCCGAGACATTGAACTGGTTAGCATCCCCTTTGATAAATTCTCATAACAATTGGCCGAAGTAACATTTGAAATTGACTTGATCTAGTGTTACTGGCTTTATGCCTGATGATTAAGGCACTTTTCACAGGGCATAGATAAGCGTTTTCTGATTATCTTTAATTTTTCTAGTTATGTGGAGATGGTAAGTGTGGCTTATTATTTTCGTTTTAGATCTAAAGTCGGGCTTGCTGTAGGTCTGTCATGAGTATGTGATCATGAATGAGGGCTAAGGTATAATCAAATTATAAGTGTCGTTTTGGATGCTGAAATATAGTTGATGATATGCAGATGAACATGGATTTTTTAACTAAAATGTTAACATGGTTGTTAAACTAAGGTGATACCCGATACCAAAAAAAGGTCAGCATTATAAATTAAATCACTGACTGAGGAAGGAACTTTGACGAAGGGCACCCTGATTAACCATGGTCGCTGCCTGGACGTGTTGGAAAAGGCATGTTCGTTTTTTCCTGTTTAATATAATCCTATATTTCTGTGGGTGTTGAGTGAAATAAGCATTTGCCTTTTTTGATTAATCATCCACATGGGTAAAGACTGAATAAACGGGTTTCTGAGTAAAAATCAAATTAGTATCAAAAGTCCAGGTTTTATTTAGTTTTTACATGTGAGCATTGTAAAATGAAATCGTGGTAACACGTGGATCAGGTGAAACTAACAGTGTTAACGTGAACACATTTGGTTATTACAACTTAAACTGAATACGTATTTTACTACTGGTTATTCAGTTTTTCCAGACGCTGATCAAATTTGTATTTTAAAGATTATCTGAATGGCTTTAAGCTGTTCTTTAAATCCAATTTTACACAATTAGCGTGTTCCTTTACACACATCTCAGAATATCAGTATATATTAATGGATAGATAATTTGTCGATTGTGCATATATTTTGGCTCGTTCTCGAAGTAGATATTTTATGTGAGACAGCCTTGATTTCTTTGATGTTCTGAGGTGTTTACACAGTGTCTGACATCGTATTTGAACTGAACTGAATGCATTCCTTGACTCTTACACATTTTATAAAATATGCAAAGGTGTACCGATACGTGACCAACCTAGATATCTTTCCTGGCTTTTCTACTTTTTACTTTAATAATAGTTGAATAGTGCCTTGCATTAGTTTGATAAATATTCACATGAATGCGAGCTAATGACAATTGAACTTTGTGGTTATAATTGTCACTGAGAACTTCCTATCATTTTTAGTGCTCTAAAACGACACAATATTGTTGTTTCGTCGTACTTAAAGAGGGGGCGTCTCCACTATTCAGCTATGCCAATTTGTCATCTCGTGACAAAGTGGCGTGTTCGAGTGGTTTCCTTAACCTCATATGACTGTGTTAAAAATCTATTCTATCAAGGAACCACGAACGTATTCTCACCCTTGAAAACCAACGTATTTATTTAGTATTGATAACACGATAATATTTTATCCACCAAGGCCGATCGTGGAGTCTAGCCGCCTATGACGTGGACAAGTATCAATTTCGCTAAAACAATCAGGCTACCTACTTAGTCGACAGCGACATAGTACTATCGTTGTTCTAAAAATACCTTGATCCATTGCACTGGAGTGTATCCGTGATTAAATTATCTATCAAATTTGCATAGCATTGGACCAATCAAGAACACAGATTGCTATCTGGAATACATTGGTAATGTTATCATAACTACAAACCAAAGATATTTTCTCATCTAGGTGGGAAACACTGTCGAGTAGAAACCATTTCGCTTTGGTAATAAATATCTTGCACAGCTTGATGGTAATATAAATACAATGAAGCAGCATCGTTGGGTGCCTTGCAAAACGATATATTTTAAAGTTATAACCTGAGCTTTTGGGCAAAATCAATTTGGTCAAAATTTTTAGGCGAAAAAACCTGTGATTGATATTTTACAACTATAATCTGCTTAGAATATGCGCAAACTTTTTCTATAAAGGTTACCTTCAATTCAAAGCCCGAAACCCAGATAGTAAATCGCATGATGACCTTGTGAGAAATTTTACCGGTTCGTTGTTAGAGTTAGCTATAGCATCAGTTGTTTTTCCCCAAAGTATGAATTACTGTTACTGTAATTCAGTGAGATATACAGCCAAAAGCTGATGTATTTCCATCGAAAAGTCAGTCAAACAAATATCTCCTATGTATTACAATGAAGATTAAAATGAATGAAGGATAATGGCCTGCCACTATTTTTTTAATAAAATCGGATGAATAAAAGCTTACGATCAATAGTCGAATTCAGGAAAGCAAGAATAAACTCGAAGTATTGTATTTTACTATGCTCCCATGAGCACAATCCGTTTTACACACCACTGACGCTCACTCCATCCGACAAGCCATTAATATACGTGAAATGTTTTAATCTGATCAGCGGTCTTGGGTTGTGCTTCCATCGCTTTTGCTCGTCTCGCTCTGCTCTGGGCACTTGGTTCCGAATCTTGTTGTCTTTTCTAAGGGACTTCCTCGATAAAATTTCCATCGATAAATATAACAGAATGTTCTGCCATCGTTAGAAAGTCAAGTCTGTTACTGCGCTTTTGTGTTAACGGCAAACCAAAAATCCTACCACCTATTACTACTTTGTGCAAATTAATCCAATTAAAATCAGTTAAAAAGTTTACCAAGCGGAGTCAATGATCCATTTAAATCATTTTACCTACAAAGCGTTGTGCTAAGAGTCGCACACAAGGGCAAACAACCTCGCTGTGCAAAACCTCAGTTTTCACTTCACACGCACATAACAGCATCGAAAGTATAATTTCTTGGGATCATACTAAAAAGCACATGTCTACAAGTTTTTGAGGCAGTTTTAAAATCCCAGGTAGCTTGGACACGTTGCACTTTAAATTCAAAAACCAACGTTGTTAAACTTTTCAAAAAAAGAAATTCAAATTTTTTTCACCCATCATAAAAACGCCATACCTCCTGAAATATCATACATTTATATGCTAAAGAAGGCGAAGGATGCTTCATCGAGACTTTCCTTCGTTGATTCCAATTAAAACCCGAATTTTGATCCTTTTTGATTCAGAGACAAGGATATTTTATGAGGATTTAAAAGATTTATTCAGAAATCATAAATACACCTGCTGAGTGCGCCTTCATTAAGTTCATTAATTTGATGTACTGTCTATAGGTTCTTCACAAACCTTTTGCCATTATTATCGACTTTGAGCAACGGACGAAAGAAACGCATGTGATGAAATCAAACGTGAATCTGCTGATTATGTGTGCTTCAAAGGCATGTCGGATTGTTATGACGCAGACTCGTCCGCACAGGCAGACATCTCCACCTCCAAAGCCAACCAAAACAATTGCTAAAATCAGAAACAGTATATGGAATACCCAAATTAAATGATTGTCTGAAGCGTCGAGATGAGACCTGTGAAAGAACAGATTACAGTTTAATAAATGGGAATTCGGACATTTCTTTTTCATATTGAAAAATAATCCAAGTATAAATTCTGAACAAAGGATCAAAGGTGATATAATTAGCAGACTGAAACTAGAGATGCATTTTGATGAATTCATTTCGACACTACTTGCATAGAGTTTGTCAGGAACATCCATATAGAGCAGAGCCTGAGGCAGTTACCTCAATTTAACGCGGAGCGTGAGGATACTATGCGAAAAGATTGCAGTCGTTTGAATCATGAAAATAATTACAATCTATAACAAACGAGAAAAATGCAAATTATCCCCACAAGAAACAAGGCTAAACAAGTTGTAAGTGTTTGCGACATCGCAAGTACTATTTACTTAGAATAGCTTTTGGAAGGTCACATACAACACCGCCCACGCAGGCTGATGCACAACAGTTCTGCCACGCACAGCCTCCACTTTAGGTAAAGGCACAATCAAATTAAAATAATTCCTTAATGCTTAAATTGAAGTCATGTCGATTAGTGTGGGCGTCGGCGTAAAAATGTGAACTACATGCTGGCCTCAAAACGGTGACACTGAAAAGGTCAGTTAGTCCACTTGGAAATTTTCACTCGGGATGCGCTTTTAAACAAATATCTTTTCTGAATCGAAGTACTGCTTTCGACTTCTAAATACCGAACATCAAAATAAGTAAGAATCCAAAAGCCGGAGCTGGATGACTGTTCAACATGTATCAAGGATTCAAGACACTTTCAACAATGTTACTTAGCAATCAAGTGTGAACATCAAATCTGTTGAATGCACAAACACAAGCACTACTTAACCCAAAAAGCGCCTGGTTTGTAAGTGGGTCCTTGCATCCGAGTTAAAGACACTGCCAGGGAAGCTACTGACTTCCGCATATAAAGAGCTTTTGGAGATAAACAGACAAACGCATGGTATCATGTCTAGAACAGTAAGGCAAGCCATTTACGCTAGTAGTGGTTGCCTATTATGATCCTGCATTATCATTGGGAAATATCACATTACGTAAATTGATAAGGTATTAGCGAAACCCATGAAATTTATATCGTAATCAGTATAGGTACTGGAGAGATGACTACAGTTTCCACGATTTTCAATGCAACATTCTGGTGCTCTCACTTTGCATGTGTCTGTGCTGATCAATGTGACCCCCCACTACTTCATGCGTACATTGTCAAACGAAACGAATTTTGTTTAATAGCAAAATTACTAAATACTTCCTTCAGAAAAACCAACTGTGCATCGGTTGGAACCGTTCTAGTGACGAGTTTTAGAATCTCTTGAGTTTGGTTGCCGTACAAGGCCATTTAATTTATGCTCGAAAATGCGAGTTGTCAACTTTGAGTCATCCGCCGCATCGAAGCCTGAACGTTTCGTCATGCTTCGTCTTTTAAGTTGACTGAAATTTATCTAGGATTTACAAGTTCTTGAGTAGACATTTCTGTTTTATGCAGCACACAGCATTCGACACCCATATGCAAGGACTCACATGCTTCAACCACCAAAGCCCTGTTTGCCAACCGTACTACTCAGGGCTTACTTTCATTCCAAAGCAGTCAATCTGTCACAGCGGGACAAGGTTTAATGAAACACTCCCTGACTTTAAACGATGATATTATGACAAATATCAAACAAGACGGATTTCATTCATTTGAAAGACGAAGAACGATTATGAAATCAAGTTATATTCGATGACAAACAAGATCAAACAATCGGCAAAAATGCAGAACAGCCAAATATACGAGTAGCCAATATTTTAGTATAGGGTAACGTTATTATTATGATCTGGTGAAAAAAGTATGGCAGCCTCCATTTTTTGTGCTGAACAAACACCGTCAAAATGGGAGGCGGATGAAAAGTAATCCTCTCACGCCATAGGTTCTGAGCGGTCCATGTTTCTCAAGAAGGACCTACCAAGCCTATAAAAGAAGCGATAACAGCTGAGACAACGGTAGAGGCAAAATAGTTTATGTCGAGCATTAGAAACCTCGAGTTAGTCACGATTAATGCTGTTACAGTCTGACAAAAAAACAACATCATTGAGATTTTCCGTACTTTTTTGAAAGATGTTCAAAGAAGAACGACGGCATAAGGGTAATTTTGACGGTTTGTCCAGTGGTTTTAAGTAGATCACGAATCTTTTTGTCCGAAAGTCCGAGTACATTGACCCCATTGACTTCTACTAACTGATGGTTGACCAGAACACCATTACGCGCAGCGCTGGAGCCTTCAACAATGCTATCAACCTTGCCGTCTTTGATAAGCATTCCAACACTTCCCAAACTATTCTTCGACAATGTAACACAGCGTTCTAGAGGTCTAAAGTTAAGAATTGATAAATAAAGCAACCAAACGATAGTCCAACAATGGGCAAAAACAGGGTTTGAAAAGATGCTACAAGGCTATTTAAATTGAGTAAGCCAACAGGAATCGAGTCGGCATAATCGTAATAAAAATTAATGATCAACTCATCCACCATGCTTGTAGTTTAACTGCAAAAAAATTTAAATCACGAAGTTTTATTCCGCACTCGAATCGCATACTGCACCTCTTATCTGCATTTCTTACTATTAATTGCCAACAAACAAAGTTCTAGAAGAGAAGAAAAAATGAGCTTTTCACGATCAGACAGAATTTACGAAAATCGTGGTCTAAGTAGAAGAACGCATTGTCGGAAACGTAAAGAATAAAAGCTTGCGCCTTTACTATGAAATAAATTAATTAAGGCCCTCGGTCTTCTTTCGAGTGTCCGCTAATTGTCTAGAAAAGAACAAATATCAAACAAATTACGAGAATTCTGCGATGTCCTAAAAGTGTGTAAGCCCACGAGACTGTTTTATAGTACTTCAAAAAGTAATCCCTACTAAACTATAATTTAACTTACAAGACGCCCAATGTGTCGTCAAGAAACAGCGTCACAAAACAGCATAGGATGTTACTTATAGCCATGACGGGTGTTAAAAATACCACAGACATCCAGCGAATCTGATTTCAAATGACCTTATATTCCTTGGAATATTTACTCACCTATCACGAATAACAACGCTGATATTATTTGCAGGACCATTCTTTATCAAATTCATCGCCTTTCTGCCACACATTCCGGCAGTAAATTGACCATTGATTTGTAAAACCTGGTCACCAAATCGAAGACCAGCCATGGCTGCTGGTGAATCCCTTTCGACATAAGTAACGAAAACACCACAGTCCTGGTTGCGTAGCTGCATACCCACTAGACCCTTTGCATTTTTGCACAGAGTCATTTCACGAACCCCTTGAGAGACCTCGATAGGATCTCTGCGCTCAATTGTTCCAGAAGCTGGAATAGAAATGGCAGTTCCGGCATGTGATACCACTGCTCCCGCTGCGGTTTCGCCTCCATAACAAGCATTTCCGTAGTCATCATAACGAACCAAAGAGAGATCAAGACCGAGGAATTCACTGGCCAGTGCAGCGTAATTCACACCACCCACATTGGAGCACGCCGCGTTTGTTGTCAGTGTTTGAGCGAGGTTGTTTTGAGCTTCTATTTCTTTACCGATCGTAAGGCCTTCAAAGGTGGGATACAGAGACATCTACAAGGACACAAGGTGCTTACACCACTTACAACGCTGCGGTTTTCGTAGATTTTCGAGTAACAATATGTCACAGATAATTTAATATTAGCAAATCTTTAAGCTAAAGTGTCATGATCTGATGATTGAAAAATTAATCATTCAATAATAATTCCCGCGATGCGCACGAAATCTGAGTGTGGATGGGCACAATCAGTGAGTGTGGACGACTACTGTCAACAGGAATACTTAATCAGATGAATGGTTTGTTAAGTGTTGCGCTGGTATAAAATTAACAACGTTTATAATGGGGTGTTAAGTAAATCAGTAGATTGTCCTGATTAAACGGTACAAAAGTAAATAATTTAGCCTATCCACCTTCAGAAAGCAAATACGCGGGGCAAAAAAAAACAGAAATAAGTTGTCACAGATGGAAAACTAAAATATTTGAAACGAATGACACAACCAAACAAGAAAAATCAACCTACTTCTAACAATGGGAGACAGGAAAACAGCCCAGGAACTAATAGCAAGGCTATATAACGACGCCGACCTTAAATTCGCGTTTAAACGAAGGTAGTTAAGTCAATTAAAAGTGGAATTTAATAGGAAGGTTTTTTAACTTAAAATATAATTTATTATTAAGAATGTAAAACAGTGCAAACTCGAAATAAAGTTTTTTTGTAGCTTATTTGAGGGGATATAAGTATAACGGCAGATACGTGACGAAATTTCAAATCATAACTTGGTAAATTGGTAATTTAACTTGCCTTTGGCCAAATTAGGAAAGAGGAATCCAAAGGCCCCTATATTTTACTCATTATTACTTTAAGAGTGAATTTAGACTCAAAATTGGGATTAACTTATATCTAAATTAAACAATGTATACCCTATAATCACATCTTGCATTGTCTCGAAAAAAGTCATTTTACTATATTTTTAGACAACTGAAGATTAATACGATAGGTTGTTATGAAGACACATCATTATCAATTTATGGACAGAATTTGCGTTTTACATTTAGCCGGATTTCAATGTCTGGGTTAATTTTGCAGTTGTATTTCGAGAATAATAGAATGGACTTTTACCCTAGGACCATCAAGGCAATGAGAGTCACAAAATTTTTTTTAAGTGCATTATAGTGAGTACCTGTTTAGCGACATATAAGGGCGCAGACTAATAGAACCACGCCGATCTCTCCCAATCCTCTGTCTCTGCGTTCCAATGGTATGCGGGGAAGATGTGCAGCCAGCCAGAGACAGACAGGTATGAGAAGCGGTATATAATGAGCGGCACAGACATTATGCTGTATCCGTAGCGCCGTGGACTCGGATGCGCAATGTCTGACGTGTGGTTCTGGTTTGTGATTGGTCAATCAGGCCTTTTCTATCTTACCAGTCTTCATCATACCAGGGCTCGGATATTCTACATTGGTGGCAGCGGATGCGTTTGAATAATGCATATCAAACCCCAGGTCTTTCTCCCCTATTGACAACAGAAGCAGAGTCTATTGAATGCCAGCTGCACTTGTCGTGGTGGTCAAACCGATGTTCCAAACACTGTATCCATAGACATTGCCCAGGATTAGGACCGTTGCAACAGAAGGGTCATCGGTAGGTCAATGGTATCGACTAGAACAGTTGAGGCCAGTTGGACTGCGCGAGAAGGAACTTGCGATGGATGGAACGGTCTTCCTGCAAGTTAACAAGAGCAAAGTCCCTCGTCTACTATTTGCTTGGGCCGCTATATTGCTACATATGGGCTATCGGGGAGTGTCAATGTGGATATTTTGTCAATCATCAGCAGTGTGGGGAACCAAGCCAGAAGCTGAGGACAGCTTCCTTCCTGAGGGAGGGCAGTGTTGAGACGTATAAGGACGCAGACTTATTGGACCACGCCGGCCCTACCTGACAACCTTGCTAGTCGACAGTTCGCAGCAGCCCGAGAATAAAGGCAGGACCCTTGACAGCGAAGATGACGATTTATTTACATTTGACCAACCAAGTCTATTATAACACAGCGCGTGAGTGCACCTCGAAAGTCAAGTGTAATCAACAATCAATGACATTCGATAAACTCGTGAATAAGCTTCACTCTCGCTAGTTTGATGAAAGTTCACTGCAGACTCGGATGCATGACATGGAGAAAAAATTGCATGGCAGCCTTTAAAGGCAAAAAAGCTGAAGTGGGTAAAACCTCGAAATATTTTATTCCGTAGATGTTTCATTCACAATAAGACAGTTTCAAAATTTCGATCGCAAATTATCGATGCCTTCGTTTGCACACAGGAAGCCTTTAACACTAACACCCATACAAACTAGGTGTACATCAGCGCCTGCCCTCGTTAATACAAGACGCGGCCTCGTGCAGAGAATTTAACCTGTCTCATTCAAAGGCTGAGCACACGTACACATGGACCCACCTTTATATGGCTGTTGCAGCCTTGTATAAAGGTTAGAGAAATGGTACACGGGAAGGTAAAGGGGCTTATAAAAAGGCGATGACTGATATGAAAAAGAAAAAAAATAGATCAAAATTGTCAAAAGCATAAAAAAGCGTGCTTTTGTGGATGTTGTAAATCCAGCAAATGACAGTCCGCACTTTTGCAGTGTAACTCGAGTAGTAGCTGCAATCAAAACACCAAATCAATCTAATTATAAAGCCCAACTTTGGACTTGGGAGAAAACAAAACGGAAATTGAGTTTTAATGGTGGTGTTGTGGGCCCCAGCATGTTATCTTGAACCACGCCGGGGGCAGTGAATTGACTCTGACCGAATTACGCTTCTCTGATACACGCGATGAAGAAAAAGACCGACGAGGACGTGGACACAACTCTACTTCAGAGCCCAATCACTTTAGTGTCGTTGTGTCGTGTGTGGGGTTTGTGCGTGTGAATTTATACCTAGGATGTGTGAGTCACACATGCGTTAACATCGCGACCTAGGTGCGAGGTTAATCTAAGATAAATTTTCGTGCGAATGATGGGGAATTTTAGGGTCCACGCAGCTGGTGACATGCTGCGAAAAGGGAAACTCTGTGTCGGAGACTGGAGCAATCGGATTAAGGAACGTGTATAAACACGATTCATAACAGCTCTCCCCCTTAGCGAGCGGATTTGGCCAACCTTTTTGTCCACTGGAGTTTTTGAAAGGTAGGCCGTAGATTTCGTGTAATTGGGGTGTGGCTGTCGATGTGAGTTGGACTGAGAATTCTCCCTCTCTTAGTAAAATAATTCAGCTAACTTTTTCTTCCAATGCGGAATCTGAAAGGTAGGCCGTAGGTTTCCGCAATCGAAATGTGGCCCATGTGAATGTAAAAATGAGGCGGACTGTCGTACCCTGAAAGTAACTGAAACACTTGTCATCGTTGCTCGTTTTCGGAAGTCGTTCGAGATGAATTGTTGTTGCCGATATAACCTTTTCTATCACTTGGATATCTGAAAGGCTAATCGTTGAAGAAGTCGTGCATGATGCCGGATCGTAATATCGTTCACGTCTTTCGATCTGGCTGACAGTCGAGAACCAGGGGACGGAATCGGTCAAAAACATCTCCTGGGTGAGCGCCAGAAGTCGGGGCCAGTGAAAGTCGAGAGATGCGACCATGTTGATTAAAATAGAGACTCGATGGATGAGGCCAGGTTGTAAAAAGGAAAGAGATTTGTGCCGATAAAAATGGAAGGATTGTCGCGGAACGACAGACAGCAGCTACGAGGTGATGGGAGTCGAAGGGCATCGTCCAGAGTTTAGCAGCGTCCGGAAATTTGACGTCGTCCGGAGAATCGAAGGGTTCCCGAAGATTTGGCGTCGTCCGAAAATGGTCGTGGATAGAAATAAATTCTCGCTTAGCGACAAGACGGAATCATACTAATAGGTCGCCAAACGTCAGTGCAACGAAGGTAGATGTTTCGGACACAAAAAGGTCGATATTCGTACAACGTCTGGATTACCAATTATTATGAGATTTAAAGAACCTTTGATCACGTTGAGGTCACCAATTTGTTGCGATGCCGTATACCACTAACTACCCAACAAGGATGAAGTCTGCGATAGGACAGAGAGTCTACCGTTTATTCGAGGACTTGACGAAGCCGTCGTCGTATGTGTGTGGTTGGCGTCTGCGTATAGCTTAGATGTGTAAGTCATAGATGAGCTAACATCGAGACCTAAGTATGAGGATAATCCAAGCCAAATATTAGTGCTAATGAGGGGAAAGTTGAGGATCCGCGCGGCTAGCGACATGCTACGAAATGGGGAACCCTGTGTTGGAGGATGAAGAGATCGGATTAAGAAGTGTGTACAGGCACGATTCACAACAGTGGTTTCCGCAAAATCAAACTCCTTCGACGCAATCAAAGTACTAAGGATTTGTGGTAAGGGCCTTGATTAATGGGGCCAAAAGGAAAGTATGTAAAATTATATGATAAAAAACTGAAATACACCAATCTATCGTACATTTATTCACTTGATAAATTAATGAATCAGGTAATAAACACTTTCCTGTTTGTAATCACTTAGAGCAATCAGGATTTCAGAGGTGACGAATTCCATTAGATTCATTTCCTAACCATAGTAATTTTGTCACGACATCGTCATATCTAGGGGCCTGAAATATTATTCCTGGTGTCAGTACCGTTGTAAGGTATACAAAGTGACCTTATCAATCAACTAATAAGCCTTGTCATTACTAGATCACCTTTATTTACCAAATTATCCTCTGTCATGTGAGTGAGATTGATGTAAGTGCAGTGCTTTGGCCCCACACCTATTTTGTCCTGAGCATTACCTTATAATAAGCTGAGAGGGAACGCGCGAACTTTCAATCATTCACGCATTTCAGTGCCTACTTAGCAAAGACCGTACCAATTTTCTAATAGCCACAGGACGCCAATGTGCCAAATGGCATTATGTCAAAGTAATTAATCCCAGCGGGAGCAACCTCAAGTCTCTGAAAACAATCATTTCACATTTTTGGAACGGAAAGATTTTCCAGGGCTTAGAGTAAAGTCTAATGAAGTCGGAAA